TTTTTTAGGGGAAAGAAGAGATTTTCCAGGGGAAAGAGCCAAGCCAGCACTGCAGGGATGTGCCAGCCCCAGCTGGGCTGGGGGTCTGGGCTGTGGGAGGGGCAGTTGGGATTATATCCCATTTATACATTCACAGCCTCAATGCTGTACGTGTATAAATAATATATTTATGTGTACATCTAATATAAATAATATATAGTGTATAATACAATATAATATAAATAATACCTATATATAGTATATAGTACATAATATATAGTATATATAATCTGAGCTAAAAAGGACTCTAAATGTGTCCCCAAAGTGCCCCCAAACTGCCAAGGTGCCCCAGACTGTGCAGCTTTCCAGGCAGGAGATTTCCTGGGTGTGTTTTGGCTCCAGGGATGCAGTGGAATCACTTTTCAGGCACTTTAATGGGTCAGATTTTTAATTTGCTCTTACCAAATGGAGCTCAAAGCCTCAGGTACCAGCACAGGTGTGCAGGAACCCCCTCACCTTTCCCAAAAGTACCTGGCTGGAGACGGATCCACCCTCAAGGGAAGGGAAACAGAGCTCCTAAAGCCAAGCAGAGCTGCCACTGCCACCTTGGTGTGCAGGAAATGTTTTGGTTTTGCTGCCTCAGGGAAAAGGCATCCCCAGGGCAGCAGGGCTGGGTTTGGGGCTCATGATGGGATTTCTGGGACTTCTGCCAGGAACTGCAGGAAAGAGAAAACTGATAACAATAACAATTTAACTCATTTTTTTTTAAATTAAAAACTATTTTTTATAAAAATTAAATGTTCAAAATGCTTTTCCAAGAGTCCCCATAAAAAAATCATGGTCCAGCCTGGGTTTCTTTGGTTCTCTGCCACGTTAAGCACATCATGGGTTGCTTTTATTGAGGTCTAACCACCAATTACAGGAATTTTGCACTTACTGTGGTGCTGGGAGGGTTCAACACCACTGAAAAAACAGCCACCCAAATCCCACCTGGATTCACCACCCACTGAACTCTCTAATACAATCTTATTTATCTATTAGTTATCTATTAATTATCTATTTATCTATTATTTATCTATTTAGCCATTATTTATTTATTTGTTTATCTAATTTTAAATTTATCTATTTCTCACCTGGGATTCCCCATCAACAATATGGCTCTGAATAAAAAACTGTAATAAAAGAGAAATAAAACCTAGTCAATTCTAAATATATAAGATTAATAATACATAAAACAAAACCTAATAAAATCTAAATAAACAAATGAAACCTAATAATAAAGAAATAAAACCTAACCAATTATAAATAAATAAAACATAATAATAAGCAAACCTCAATCAATTCTAAAGAAACAATTTTTTAAAACTAACAATAAATAAAACCTAATCAATTCTAAATAAATAAAACTTAATAAAAAAATTAAACCAAATAAATTCTAAATAAGCCTAATAATAAATAAAGAAACCCTTATAAGTTATAAATCAATCAATCCTAATAAATTATAAAAAATAAACAATAAAACCTAATAATAAATAAATAAAACCTAATCAATTAAAAATAAATAACCCCCAAATAATAAATAAATAACACCTAATCAATTACAATTAAATAAATAAATCCTAATAATAAATAAATCAAGCCTAATCAATAATAAATACATAAAAACCCAATAAATAAAACCTAATACATTGTAAATAAATAAATAAACAAAACCTAATAACAAATAAATAAAACCATAACCAATTATAAATAAATCCTAATAATAGATAAATAAACTCTAAATAAATAAACCCTAACAATAATTCAGGCCAATGCCAGGATCCATTGCCAAGGCAGAAGTCATGGCAAAGTCCCAGCCCTGGGACCAACCACGGAAAATCTGCTGGAGTCCCTCAGCCCATTCTAAATAACTCTGGAGCTGTTGGCTTCCTCTGCCATGTATTGGCTTTTGCAAATTCTTATTTATAATAATAATTATATTATTTATATATGAATTATAATATAACAATGATTTTGATGTGGTACAGTTTGTGATCGCTTTGAACTGCTTTAATATTTATAATAATTATTATAATATATATAATTAATATATATAAAATACATTAATATATATAATAATGTGTAGCTTGTCTATTTTAGTGTGACAAACACACATTATGGTTTAGGTGTTGGAACCCTGGGTGCTGAGAATTTCAGACTTTCTGTGCTGCCAGGCACTGACCCCAAAAAACCACCACATTTCACCTGAGGCCATGGAGAAAGCTTCCAAAATTGAATGTTAGAATGAAGATTATAAGTGTGTAGTTTAAATAGAAGTGTGTAATACCACATAGTAGAAAACTTGGGGTTTAAAGTTTTAGAATATAATAATATGTATAAAACAAGATAGAAGTTTTAGAGCAGTTACATGTCCTTCTTCGTCACCTTCTTCTCCATGGATTTGGGTGGTATTTTAAGAATTAAAAAAGTAATAAAATAAAAAGAAATAAAATTAAATAAAAATAAAATAAAATAATTATTAATTTAAATAAATTCAATAATTTTAATTAATAAAAATAATGAAATAAAATTAATTTTTAAAGTAATTAAATAAAGTCCACATTGCAGACCACAGTAGTTAGTTAAAAGTTCCAAATAATTTAAGTGTCATTTCTTAATTAGACAGTTTATCCTTAAAAAATCTTATAGAGATACAACTCCATTTTTAGTTTATTAAAATGAAGTACTATAAAACTCACCGTTTATAAAACTCTAATATAGATAAAATTAATAAACATCTAAATCCAAAGAAAAATACCATCTCATACATTTAATCCCAACCCTAACAAAAAAAAAAAAAAAACAAACAGAAAACCCCCATATTTAGGCTTTCACTAAATATTCAAATAATTGTGATGTTAAATGCTTTTATTTGTGTAACTCACTGACAGTGGTGAGAGTAACTCAGATAATTTGGGAAGCAGCTAATGTGGATTTCATGGACTTGGGGAGAATCTTGTCTGTGTAAGATAACATTGAAAAGAAAATAAACAAGAATGCAAGGGAGGATTTACCACTGACCTTTGCTTATCAAGAACGGTCAAACCACACAACAGGGGCTTTGTGGGAACAGAAAACAGATAAATTTCACCTGCAGCACTTGAAGAAGATGGGTCAATAGTTGAACCAGAACGTGTAAACTCCAAGGAATGTTTGAATATGCACAATCTCCATGAACATGCATTTGACCAATGCAAGGAAAAAGTGTGTAAGGAAATTATTTTAAACTAACTGATGTGCCTCTGCCAAGCTCCCAGTGCTGCAAAAGTCCATTTTATCCCTTATTAAACTTTAAAACTTTTAATGAGTGAGCCTTGTTTCTCTCAGCTCAATCCCAGGACACAAATTTTTGCTCCATCACCCTCCCCTCCCTGGGGCTGGGAGCTGATATTGAATTGATCCCACAAAATCCACATGGATTAAATGGTTCTGGTTTCACTAACACCCCCCTTGAGGCATTTCCCTGTTGTCCCAACACCACACAGAGCAACCCAGCTTTCCCCAGGGCATTTGCCAGGATTCCAACATTACCAGCATCAGTTCAGTGAAGGGAATCACAGAATTATAGAATTGCTCACCTCCAAGCTCATCTTGTTGGGAATACCCTGAACAAGGGGAAGGAACCCACCCCAAGGGCCACACTCCTCAGAAATACCTTGGAACTGAACAAATCCATTCAATTACACTTCCTTTATACTCCGAGATGAAGGGTCCTGTGACCTGTAAAATTCTGGTCAAGTCCTTTTCCCAGTATTTCTGGATACATCTGAAATATCACAATGAGGCTGACTTGGGCATTTAGGAACTTAATTTTCCAGTTTAAATATTTGATACTAAAACAAACAAACAAACAAACAAGTAAATAAACTAATTTTCTACTACTACTACTATTATTATATATTCTTTTTAGATATTTAAATACCCACTGAATCAAGGAGTTTTTCCATCCCACTGTCCTGGTTTTGCTGCTTCTGGCCCCACTGGAAAGAGCTGGTACAAGGTTTTCTGCAAGCACACTTAGAGCACAAAATACAATAATAATAACAATAAATATCCATTCATTAGCATCCATTTGGTTCTGCACTCCAGAGGGAAATGGGGCTGCCTGTGAATTATTATCCTGCCTCTTTCAGGAATATTCCTGGGTGCTTTGCTTAAAATCTGGCAGTGAAATCCCTCCCATGAATTAAATTTTGTGCAAATCACGCCATTAATTCCATTTCTATATAATTTATATGGGATATTCCATTCTACCCTTCACACTGGGTTTTTCAGGAAGGACAGCTCCTCATGGGAACTTCCCAAGCATCCACAGCTTCCCTGCCACTACACCAAAAACACACAGAACCAAGAGAGGGGTAAGAAGCAAATGTGCAAAATTTATTATGTTCTTCAATGAACACAGGGATAGGAAATTTATAAAATTAGGTAGTATCTTCAAAATTTAAAAAAAAAGATATATAAACACCAAGAGTTCCTAGAGAGAACAAACAACAGCAGTCCATGGGATGCTCAAACACAGCTGACTCCAAAGCAGTTTCTTCATAAAAAAATAAGAGACTGAAAAAATAAAGGGCTCTGGAAGACAGTGGAGTCAGCATGGCAAACATGGGATATGAAAACTGAAATGCTACTGCAGCACATCCTGATTGTCCAAGGAAAAGTCTGTTGGCAAAACAGGGAAAGCTCTGAGTGCCAAGCTCAGCCCTCTGCTAAAGGCATCTCCTGAATTCCACCAGGTCCTGCTAACTCCAGAATGAGCTTGGAGAGACCTCAAAGCTCTTCCCAAGCCACCCCTGCCATGGCAGGGACCCCTCCCACTGTGCCAGGCCGCTCCAGCCCCAGGGTCCAACCTGGCCCTGGGCACTGCCAGGGATGGGCAGTGAGACATGGCACAAGCACTGGCAACACTCCTAGACACATCCATGAGGAACCCCATGAGGAACCCCATGAGGAACACCAGGAGGAACCCTGTGAGGAATCCTGTGAGGAACCCCATGAGGAATCTCCTGAGGAACCTCCTGAGAAATCCTGTGAGGAACCTCCTGAGGAACCTCCTGAGGAACCCCGTGAGGAACCTCCTGAGAAATCCTTTGAGGAACCCCATGAGGAACCCTGCAAGGAACCCCATGAGGAACCTCCTGAGGAACCCCAGGCTCCTCACTGCTGCTCCTCTTGCTCCCTTGGCACCTGTAGCTCTGGACCTGTGGCCAAGCAGGGGCTGGCAGTGGCAATGCCACAGGATTGTGGCCAGCGTGGGTTCCTCTGGCTGTGTAAACGCTGTGGGGGTGACCCCACACAGAACTCTGCTGGAGCAGGCAGGGGTGCCCAGCTCACAGCTTCAAGTAGAGAAGAGCCCAGAGCTGCTCCTGGTGCAGGGGGACAGCCCTGGCTGGGGTGGGGACACCGGGGACATTCCCAGCCAGGCCTGAGGAGCTCCCCCAGCAAGGGCAGCCCTGGGAACCCAAACCCAGCAACCCCAAAGGTCACAGTGTCCCCCTTGGGATCCCAAAGGTCACAGTGTCCCCATAGGATCCCAAAGGTCACAGTGTCCCCTCAGCACCCCAGAGGTCACAGTGTCCCCCTGAGGATCCCAAAGGTCACAGTGTCCCCATAGGATCCCAAAGGTCACAGTGTCCCCTCAGCACCCCAGAGGTCACAGTGTCCCCCTGAGGATCCCAAAGGTCACAGTGTCCCCATAGGATCCCAAAGGTCACAGTGTCCCCATAGGATCCCAAAGGTCACAGTGTCCCCTCAGCACCCCAGAGGTCACAGTGTCCCCTCAGGCTGGGCCTTCCATCACAAAGAGGTCTGAAGTGTCTGTGAGTTGACAATCCCATACAGGAGTTGTGATTTCCCAAAGTTACATGATTTCCTCCTCCAGTGTTTCTCTGGATCCCTTGCTCCCAGCAGTGTTGTCGTCGTTGGAATAGTTGCCCGAGTCGCGACTGCTGTGGGAGGAATGTTTGTGGCCTGAGAACACGATGTGAGTGCCCTCCTCTGTGACCATGGCCTCGATCACACAGCAGTGCTCCACGGCCTCCTCTGCTGCAGCTGCCAGGCAGGGGCTGCTCAAGGGCTGGGCTCCAAACCCCTGCGGACAGAAGGACAGGGGGAAGAGATGAACATCCATAAATAATAATTATACACTGATTGAAATAATTAAATACTGATTCTGCTAACCACCACAGTCACACAAATGGGATTGATCAGATACTTTACTGTGAGGGTGGGCAGGCCCTGGCACAGGGTGCCCAGAGCAGCTGGGGCTGCCCCTGCATCCCTGGCAGTGCCCAAGGCCAGGCTGGACACTGGGCACAGTGGGAGGTGTCCCTGCCATGGCAGGGGTGGCACTGGGTGGGCTCTGAGGTCCCTCCAACCCAAACCAGTCTGGGTTCCATGCTCAACTTGAGCCCAATGTGTGGTTTCCCACCCCTAACACACCCTTTGTTCCCCTAGGGTCACCAGCTCAGATTTAGGATGAAGTTTTAGTTCCCAGAACCCCCAAATCCCTGGGGCTGGCACAGCCCTGCCAGGAGCCCATGCAGTGCCAGCTGTGCCCACCTTGTGCCCAGCCCAGAGCACTCAGTGCCACCTCCAGGGCACACCTGCAGGGATGGGCACTGCAAAGCTCCCTGGGCAGCCCCTGCCAAGGCCTGAGCTCCCTTTCCATGGGCAAATTGCTGCTGCTGTCCCAGCTGAGCCTGCCCTGGCCCAGCCTGAGGCCGCTCCCTCTGCTCCTGTCCCTGTTCCCTGGCAGCAGAGCCCAGCCCCACCTCCCAGCTGCATTCACTGAGTCCATCACTGAGGGGTGACTCCCACATTCTATCTCAGCCCTTTTCCTGCTCTCAGTTGTCAACCACCTCAGAATTACAACATTTCAAACATTTCATGGATTAGAGCCTGAGGAGGCCACACAAGAATGAGAAGAAGATCCAGGTACAGAGAGTTCAGGGCACACCTGAGCATTCCCCTTCTCATTCCAGAGCAGGATCCCTGCTAAGCAGCACCTGTGCCAGGCTGGAGACTGGACAATGCTCTGGAGACCTCTGATAAAACCTCTGAAATGAACCCTGGCTGACCCATAACACATAAACATCATTTTCCCACGATATTTAAAGTTCATTTTCCTCCAAAGAAGCTGTGAGGAGTCAGAGCTCACCTCGATGTTCAGGGGGGGCTGGCAGGAGGGGAAGAACACGTATTTGATTTTGTTGTAGGCTTGGTAGAACACAAAAACAAGAGGAGCAGCCACCAGCAGGACAACCAGCAGGGCGCCCAGGAAAATCCCAGCAATGATCAGAGCTAAAGGTGTACCTAAAATTGGGAATAAAAACCATTCAGTCAAGGTACTGAAATTAAAGCAGAGATCCAAATGTGCTGCAGAATTTATGAAATAATTCAACATTTCCACACCATGGAAACATTCCCCAGCACTTCCACAGCCATGGGCACCAGGGAGAAGTGATGCTGTGCCAGTGCCTGAGACAATTTTGCTCGAAGAAGCCACAAAATATTTTCCAATAGAAAATCAGGATCTCCAAGGTGGGAAGAGGCCTCCCAGGTGCTCCAGTCCCTCCATGACCCCAGCACCAGCTGGGGGTGCTCACCTGCACAGGAGAAGCTGCAGGGAGAGCTCCGAGCCCCTGGCAGGGCCTGCAGGGGCTCCAGCAGAGCTGCAGAGGGACTGGGGACAAGGCCTGCAGGGACAGCACCCAGGGAATGGCTGCCAGTGCCAGAGGGCAGGGCTGGGTGGGATCTTGGCAGTGAGGAATTGTTCCCTGGCAGGGTGGGCAGGCCCTGGCACAGGGTGCCCAGAGCAGCTGGGGCTGCCCCTGCATCCCTGGCAGTGCCAAGGGCAGGCTGGGCACTGGGGACAGTGGGAGGTGTCCCTGCCATGGCAGGGGTGGGATGGGATGATCCTCAAGGTCCTTCCCATCCAAACCATTCCATGATTATCTCAACAAACTGAATGGAGTTTGTGATACTGAAATTAACAGGCAGCAGCAGCCACTTTCTAAGTAATGCAAAGGACACAATCAGGTCTTATCATCAAAGAATGGAAGATTTTCACTCTGGGGTATAAAAACATGGGGAAGACAGAGCAGGGTCTGTCTTGAAGGCCCTGCTTGGATTTAAAGAGATTCACTGAGGTAGCAGGATAAGGGGAAGAGGAATGCCTAGGAAAATAGATTCAAATATTTTCTTATTCAGGTAAAAAGTATCATTTGGTTCTTTTTAGGCTTGATAAGACACAGCAGTGAGGACCACAATATAAATGAATCTTGAATGTGAGCCAGGCATTGCTGTTATTACATTTTCTTGGCTTTCAGGCAGTTTGAAGAGTCAGAAATTTTCATATGTTAATAAAATTTTATGTGGCCAATTACCTTCAGCATGATTTGTCCTTGTGTTCTGAGTGAGTGCAATCCTCCCACTCTCCCTGGGCACCAAGATGAGCTTCCAGCCCTAACAAATCTGATTGATCTCCTCAGATAAATCAGCACAGGAGGTTCATTCCCAGAAGGACTAAAACAGTTTCAAGGCTAAAATACCCCTGAAAATGTGGAATTTAGTGATTCCTTGATGTGGGGCTGGGAATTGAAGCTCTGTGCCCAGCCAGGAGTGCTGAGCTCCCAGGGAGGGGGTGCCAACTGCAGCTCAGAGGGTGTGGGTGCATTTCTGCAGGGCTGTGCCCACCTGCAGGGGTGAGGATGCATTGCTGCTGGCTGTAGGCACTGCTCTTGTTGTAGGGCTCAGAGAAGGCCTGCACCTGCACGCAGTACAGCGACGAGGGGGACACGTCAGGCACCGTGGCGATGGTCTGCCTCACCTCCTTCTGCTTCACCTCCTCCTGCAAAAGCAAAGCAGAGAAAAGGGGGGATCAGAGCCCACGGGCAGCACAGGGGCCTCAAACAGCTGAGAGCTGCAGCCTCTGGTGGAGAAGGGATTCTGTGAAACGTCTCACATTGCTGCAGCCCCAAATCTGCAGGGCTGGAGAGACTTTCCAGCTCATGCAGTCCCACTTCCAGGTGCCTCTGGAACATCTCCAGGAACTCCACCACCTCCCTGGGCACCCAGATTCAATAAAGTAAATAAACCACCCCCTTAGCTCCTCAGCAAAACTCAGCAAACACCTCCTGGGCAAGAACCAAGGGCTTCCCCCATTATTCTGAAATGTCCCAATTCCCAGTTTCCAGGAAACTCCTTCCTGCTGGGTTTGCTTCCTTCTCTTCTGCCCCCCTTTTTACCAATTTCTGTGAAATATTTTATCCTAAGAAGCATTTACAGAACATGGAAAGATCCATTAAAATGTGAGCTAAAAGGATGCAGGACTTCAGTGTTTGAGGAGCTTTTTCCATCCCACTGCACACAGACTCATCCATGGAAATGGAGATTTTACCCCATCACTGGGAGATAAAAATCACAGTGATCAGGTTTCTAAGAGACTTACATAAAAATCTCAACCACTGGGTGATAAAAGTCACAGTGATCAGGTTTTTGAGAGAATCTTTCATTAGAAAACCCAATAAACTGATTTTTTAAAGACTCATCTACCACAAATGTGCCTCTTTTGGAAAGGAGCTCCAGGATTTAAGTCAGAATCAATAGAATATTTCATTTTTTCATACTTAAGTCAGAATCAATAGAATTTTCATATTTAAGTCAAAATCAATAGAATATTTCATTAAAAAGCCCAATAAACTGACTTTTTAAAGACTGATATACCACAAATGTGCCTATTTTGGAAAGGAGCTCCAAGATTTAAGTCAGAACCAATTTTCTACTGTTTGTAATTTGTTCACACCTTTGTATCTGAGGAATTCTTCCAGTAGAGGATCCTGTAGGACAAGTCATAATGGTCCCTCATGAATCCATCCTTATCTCCTCCTGGAGGAGAAATAAGGATGTGGAGCAAAGTGTCACTGAGGTCCAGCCTTACACCGGGAGGGCCAATTCCATCTGAAAACAATAAAATAAATACTTGAAGTCCAACTGAAAAAATACAACTAAAAATATCAAATACTGTCAGTGAAATCCATGATAATTTTGAAGAAACACAGAGTTAGAAGTATCATTTCATAATTTTGTTCAGAGTATCAAATCCTGAGAAACATTTGAATTAATTCCACTATACTCTTGTGAAATCCCCCCTCCTGTCAGCTCACAGAGACATTTGGCAGGAGTTGCTGAGCAAGGAGCACTTGAGGAAAGCATTTCCTTACTTGTTCTCAGAGGATCCACCTTGACTTCCCTGGAGAAGCAGGATTTGTTGTGTCCCTCCCTGGCCTGCACCCGCAGGTGGTAAAAGCCAGTGCCGGTGATGATGGAGGAGAAGTTGCACCAGGAGCTGGTGATGCTCTCACACCCAGGGACACTGAGCCACTTGTCTGAGTAATCATCATTGAGATCCTTCAAGTAGCCACTGCAACAGAGAGTTCCAGAGTTGTCACGTCAGCTCCCTGAACTCCTCCAGAAAATCGTATTTGTTTGTGCTGCACTTGGCTCAGTTCGGGGCAAAAAGGCCTCTAGTAATCAAATAAAAATAAAAAAAAAAATCAGCATTTTAATCTGAGACATTTCTGAGTGGAAGAATGAAGATAAAAGGGCCGGGGAACACAAATCAGGGCTTTGAGCAAGGCTCAGCAGAGATGAAATGTGGGGAGGGCAGGTTCTGAAAATCCAAAGGAGAAGTTCTCACGTAGCTCTGTGCAGTCCATTGATTTCTGCCATGCCAAGGAACTCCCAAGGAATGCCAGGGGTCCCTCCTCTTCTCTGAGGTGCTGGCCACAATATTTATGCAGCAGCTGGAGATTGAGATACAGGTTCTTAGAGCTGCTTCCTACTGGGATTTCTGGATGCGATTCAATGGGGTTCTATGGGGTATGATGGGGGTTTTATGGCATTCCTTGTTGTTTGATGCAACATGATTTTTATCTGATTTTCTTCATGTGATACAGTGGCTTTGTGTGTGATAGGATGGGGTTAGATGTGATACAAGGGTTATTTCATGTTACATGAGGGGGTTTTTATGTGACTTGATGGGTTTTTTATGTGACACAATTCTTTATGGGACACACCAGTTTCCTTATGGGACACACCAGTTCTTTTATGGGACACACCATTTTCTTTTATGGGACACACCAGTTTCCTTATGGGACACACCAGTTCTTTTATGGGACACAAGGTGCTACCTTGTGTTTTCTCCCCTATTTGGGTCTGCCCAGAAGAAACCCAAGCTGCTGACAACTGAAACCTCCACCACCTGTATTTTTGCTCACTTCTACTCATCTAATTTCTCCACATTCAAAAAGCCACTAAGCAATTCAAGCCTCCCAGCTTTAAAAATGTCCCTCAGCATTTAGGAGTCCCTTCCATCAGGAGTTTAACACCCCCAAAGCAGCCCAGTCCCTGAAATCCCAGGCTCAGGTGTTACATGGAATTCTTTTAACAGCAGTGAGCTGTATTTTTGCTCACTTTTACTCACCTAATTTCTCCACACTCAAAAAGCCACTAAGCAATTCAAGCTTCCCAGCTTTAAAATGTCCCTCAGCATTCAGGAGAGGAGTTTAACACCCCGAAAAGCAGCCCAGTCCCTGAAATCCCAGGCTCAGGAATTCTTTCACAGCAGTGAGCCATCCATGTTCCCATTAACACACGAAGCCACCAAATATTTCATTTGAACCCCTGGGGAACGGCAGAAATGGGATTTCAGACTGGCAGGGTGGCGTGGCTGAACTCACAGCAGGTACTGCACGTTGTAGGTCACATCCTGACTTTGCTGGCTGCTCCAGAGCAGGTGGAATTCCATGTTCAGAGCCAGGACACTCAGGTTGGTGGCACACAGGAGGTCGTTCACTGCTCAGGGGAAAAGGAAACCCAAAGTTAGCAAAAAACTTCATGGGAATGGGCATTTCCCATGTCAATAATGAAAATATAAAGATTATTCACTTATATTGATTATAAGTGAATAAAATAATAAGATTATTATTTTTAAGTGAAAAAATATAAGATTATTCACTATACAGATTGCAAGTCAGAGGGTGTGATATGCAAAGAATCCCATCAAGCCTTTAATGAAAAAAATCAGTTAAAATCAATTCAGAAAAAAATCAAAGTACACAAATATTGAGAGGAGCAAAAATAAACAGGTTTGGGAATAATATGAGGAGAAAAATATATAAAATACACATCTGTATTTATTGTACATTTTGATTTTTGTTTTAATATTTTATTAAAATATGAATGTGACAACTACTTAATATCTTATAAAATAATTAAAACTTGCATGTATCAGTTATTGTAATATTTTATTAAGATACACATGTACTATTTTAAAAATACATATGTATTCTTTTAACATTTTTAAAATACACAGGTGTGTATTAATTAATGTTTTGGTGTATAAAATAACTTTCATTTGCCATCATTTACTTACATTTTGATGTACCATCAACTCATTATGATGTACCACCCCTGTCCAATCTAATATTTGACTTTCTGCAGTTATTTTTTTTCCTAAAATAAACATCTAAAAGCAACTGCACAGCACAGAGAAGAATTTAATTTTACATTTTACAAGGTGGCAAACTGCCCCCTCAAAGCCTTTCCTCAGCTGCTGTAACAGTCAATTCACCAAGGATTACATAAAACCAGCATTTTTTAAAGCTCAAGTCAACTTTCTGTGCATTCACTGAGTGCCAAGTATCCCAGAGGCTTTTGGGCGTTTTACCTCCTGATTCAGTCACTGATTAAAAAGAAGAGTTTTCCAAAGCACACAAAGAAGTTTTTGTTCCAAATTAATGTCCAAGTTTGCCTCATGGCAAAAACATTCTTGTACTATTAAAACTCTACCCTTGACATATTTTAAGTTGATTGAGAAGGGCAAATATATACAATATATATAATTTTTATACCAAACTGAGGAGGAATTTGGCCCTCCTGCCTATTCCTGCAGCTTCAGAACCCCTGACTGTGTGCCAGTTAAACAGAAGCCACCATTGGCAGGTAAGCTGGTGTCCTGGGTACCTTTCTGGGTGGTTTTCACACAGCTGTGGGGGCTGAACAGGCCTTGCTTGCCCTCGCTGGGGAGATTTGCTTGGACTTTGAAGCAATAGGTGCTGTCCGGGGCAAGGTCGTCAATGGTGTCCACAGGGAAAATCCTTTTGTTCTGGGGCTGGAAGGAACAAACACAAAGAGCCTGTGAGGGGAACTGTGCTTCCCCAGTAACATTTTAAATGATCATTTTGCAAGGTTTCAGCCCATTTGTGTCATACCCCACCTAGAAATGTGGAATAGAGAAAGTAGGAGGGTGTTTGAGCTGCAGAAATCCTAAAGGGAAGTTTGCAGCTTAGCCAGTGACAGACAGGAACATTTTGGGCTCCTTTGCCATGGGAGTGGGGAGGGATTGGGCATGACCAGGAATTCACCCCACAGACACCCCAGAATGCAGCAGGACATTCCCACCCCTGATCACCCAAACACTGCCCCCTCCTCTGCCTTTGGCTTTCACTGACCATACCCAATGGTACTTCTGGGCCTCTTGCTCCTTTGGGGTGTGATCCCCAAATCCCAGAGGTGGGAGGAGCCCCCCAGGATCACCCAGTGCCACCCCAGCCCCACCAGCACCACCCCAATCCCTGTCCCCAAGGCCACATCCAGACTGCTCTGGGACAATGCCAGGGACTCCAAACCTCCCTGGGCAGCTCAGCCCAAGGCCTGACCACTCTGAGAGAGGAATTTTATTCTGATTTCAATCTGAACCTCCCCTGGTGCACCTTGAGGCCATTCCCTCTTGTCCTTTCCTCATTCCTGTGTTTCCCTCTGGCTGTGCCCTCCTGGCAGGGCCTTGTGCAGAGCCACAAGGGCCCCTGAGCCTCCTTTGCTCCAGCCTCAGCCCCTTCCAGCTCCTCAGGGATTCTGCAGCCCCTTCCAGCTCCTCAGGGATTCTGCAGCCCCTTCCCAGCTCCTCAGGGATTCTCCAGCCCCTTCCAGCTCCCTCAGGGATTCTGCAGCCCCTTCCCAGCTCCTCAGGGATTCTGCAGCCCCTTCCAGCTCCTCAGGGATTCTGCAGCCCCTTCCAGCTCCCTCAGGGATTCTGCAGCCCCTTCCCAGCTCCCTCAGCATTTCTCCAGCCCCTCAAGGTCCTTTCTGAAGTGATGAATTTGATCTGATCTCCCAAAAGAACACACACAGATTGCCCTTTGATCCCTGCCCTAATTTAGATGGCTCTCACTTCCCTAAAAAAGATTAAAAAGGAAGAGTTTCTCCCCAGCTCCTCACAGGAGAGCTCTGGGTGCTCTGCAGGACACACATGCTGCCTTGGAAACCAGCTCCCAATGGCAACACCTCAAAAAAGTCCCTGGATCAGGGCAACCCCAATAAAACAATCCTATGGTAAGAACAAAATCATCCCACCAGGAAAAAAACCACCTGCCCCAACTTTCAAACACACAGAGCAGTTACACAGTGACAGAAGCAAACAATTCCATTTCAGAGCACGAATTAAAGTCCATCTCTGGCAGTTCTGGTAAGGTTAAGTAACAAAAAGAAGTGCTCATACCTGAGCATGTGAGGAGTTTTCCCAGAAGACCAGGTTATATTTAAAAGTCAGGTCATTGATCCACATTTTTTTCCTCTGATTTGCTTCTGGAGGAGAAACCATAACTTTTACTACTCCATTTGTGGACTGCAATTCCAGTCCTGGTGGACCAATCTGAGCTGCAAATATGGAAAGAAAAAAGAAGCATTAAACATTTCTACTTTGAGAAAATACACCCCAAAAGTGGTTTAAATAATAAACTTAAAATACCTGCCTATGCTATCTTATCTTTAATTCTTTTGAATAATCACCTACAGGATCTTAAGTTTTCATTGACTCAGGCAGTTTCCAAAAGAAATTTAACCTAACAACCAACTACCATCACCAGCTTCTAAAAGCAGTTAATATTAAATATTACCAGCAAACGTTTTCCAAAAAATCAGAATAAATTATTCTAAAACCTGCAAGGCAAGGGATTTAGCTCAGTCCAATAAATCCAGCTTCAGAGAAAGGATTCAGTACCATGGAACTGCTGAAGAGCCAAACTTCCCAAAAATGGGGTTCTTGGGGAAAGCTGGTCTATGGAAGGTGTCCCTGCCCATGGTGGGATGGGATGGGTTTTAAGGTCTCTCCCAATCCAGACCAGTCTGGGATTCTACAAAAATCTACTGTCAAAAAGGACTGTTCCAATAAATAATCTGGGAAAACACGCAGTGACAGGAAATTCAGTCAGGAAACCAGCACCACCTGGAATAGTCTTCCCTTTCCAGAAAAGAGAGAATTGCAGCATTGCATGACCTGCAGATGCCTGATCTCATGTTCCTGTTGGGAAACTCCCCCTGTCCTGCTGTTACCAGCAGTGGAAACCACACGTGGTTTTTCCACAATCCCTCATTCCTGACTGCTTTGGGTGGGGAGGGACCTTAAATCCCATCCCATCCCACCCCTGCCATGGCAGGGACACCTCCCACTGTCCCCAGTGCCCAGCCTGGCCTTGGGCACTGCCAGGGATGCAGGGGCAGCCCCAGCTGCTCTGGGCACCCTGTGCCAGGGCCTGCCCACCCTGCCAGGGAACAATTCCTCATTGCCAAGATCCCACCCAGCCCTGCCCTCTGGCACTGGCAGCCATTCCCTGGGTGCTGTCCCTGCAGGCCTTGTCCCCAGTCCCTCTGCAGCTCTGCTGGAGCCCCTGCAGGCCCTGCCAGGGGCTCGGAGCTCTCCCTGCAGCTTCTCCTCTCCAGGTGAGCACCCCCAGCTCTCCCAGCCTGGCTCCAGCCCCTCTGGGCTCTCTGCAGCAGCTCCAGGTGCTCCTGCTGCTGGATCTGGATCTCAGGGGTGCCACCTGCCAGGACAGAGGATCAGACTCCTCCCAAGGTGCTAAAGGAAGCAAAGTGTCCCTGCAAACCCTGAGCTCGTACCGACTTGTTCTGGCACCATCTCCAGGACCTGGGACCATGGGGACACCAGCGGCCCAGCCTGGGCCCTCACACGCACGTAGTGGGCATCGTAGTACTCTGAGATGGCCGAGGAGAAGTCACAGCTCGTGCCAGCCACAGCCTGGCACCCTGGCAGCTCCTGCCAGCCCGTGGGCTCCAGCTCCGGCCTGCGGGACAGAGAACAGCCTGGATTAAACAATGCCTCCAGGAGAAACACCCCAGATAAACAATACCCCAGGAGAAAGAACAGCCCCAGATAAACAATACCCCAGGAGAAACACCCCAGATAAACAATACCACAGGAGAAACAACAGCCCCAGATAAACAATACCCCAGGAGAAACACCCCAGATAAACAATACCCCAGGAGAAACACCCCAGAAAAACAATACCCCAGGATAAACAACAGCCCCAGGAGAAACACCCCAGATAAACAATACCCCAGGAGAAACAATACCCCAGGAGAAACAACAGCCCCAGGAGAAACACCCCAGATAAACAATACCCCAGGAGAAACACCCCAGATAAACAATACCACAGGAGAAACAACAGCCCCAGATAAACAATACCCCAGGAGAAACACCCCAGATAAACAATACCCCAGGAGAAACACCCCAGAAAAACAATACCCCAGGATAAACAGTACCCCAGGATAAACAACAGCCCCAGGAGAAACACCCCAGATAAACAATACCCCAGGAGAAACAACAGCCCCAGGAGAAACACCCCAGATAAACAATACCCCAGGAGAAACAACAGCCCCAGGAGAAACACCCCAGATAAACAATACCCCAGGAGAAACAATACCCCAGGAGAAACACCCCAGATAAACAATACCACAGGAGAAACAACAGCCTCAGGATAACCAACAGCCCCAGGACAAACACCCCAAATAAACAATACCCCAAGAGAAACACCCCAGATAAACAATACTGCAGGAGAAACAACAGCCCCAGGATAAACAACACCCTGAGAGAAACAGCCCAGATTAAACAATAGCCCCAGGATAAACACCCCCAGGATAAACAACAGCTCCAGGAGAAACACCCTGGAATAAAAAACAGCCCAGTATAAACAACACCCCCAGGACAAAGAGCCTGGGATAAAGAATACCTCCAGGAGAAACAAGAGCCTGGGATAAACAGCCCAGAATAAACAACAGCCCAGAATAAACAACAGCCCAGAATAAACAACACCCCCAGGACAATCAGCCTGGGGTCACCAGCCTGTGACACACAAGGCTCACTCCCTAGGATTGTGACAAGTTGAATAAGGGGCGGCAGGGACAGTTCCAGCTCTGGGCTGCCTGGCAATGCCAGAAGCACACACTGACTGCAACAGCTCTCAGGTACCTGCTCAGGGCACGGCTCAAATGCATTTTCATGGTGATTGTACATATTCAACCTTCCCTGCAGTTCACATGCTCCAGGAATTCTTTATCTTAGCTTGACCCATGATTTCATCTTCTCAGAGCACAATGCACATGGGATTTTGAGAGTTTTGTATCTTATTTCCTCACAGATGGCATTTTCAGAGTTTGGTATTTTATTTACAAACAGGATTTTGAGAGTTTTGTATTTTATTTCCTCACAGATGGGATTTTGAGAGTTTTGTATGTTATTTCCTCACAGATGGGATTTTGAGAGTTTTGTATGTTATTTCCTCACACATAGGATTTTGAGAGTTTTATATTTTATTTCCTCACACATAGGATTTTGAGAGTTTTGTATTTTATTTCCTCACAAGGCCCCCTGGTCTGTGGTTTGACAGCTATTGATAGCCCAAGGAGCAGTGGTAGACTTTTCTTTGCTCTTTTGGTGCTATTTGCCTGGTTTTTCCAATGTTTTCTTACCACACAGAATTCTAGCCAGTTTTACAAGTAATTTCAATCAATATTAGCTATTTCACTATTGAATAGATATTTCACTATTGTCAGTTAGTTACAAAAATAAAGGCATTAGTTATTATTTCACAACTACAATCATTATTTTATTAATTTAATTTTTATTTTAATTTTAACATCATCACTATTAATATATTAATACAAAATAATAAGTTCTTATATTCATTACTATTATTATTGTCATTATTATTATTTTTTCACTACTACAATTACTTCTGCAGAAGTTAATGTTATAATACACAGTGCACAATATTTTGCAAAAGCCCAAACTATAATATATATTTATCACACTAAGATATACAATCCACACGGGGATTAGAGTATTAACTATAAAAGGCTGACAAATTATACTGTATCAAAAGCAGTTAAAAAGAGATTACAAACTGTACTCCATCAAGATAATTTACAAAAGCCAATAATAACAAAATACAATAACTACATAGTTATTTATAAAACATCCCAGGATAAAGAGCCTGGGATAAATCCAACCCACCACCAGTGAAATTATTCTTATTTTCTTCTTAACTTTAATAAACATCACCCCTTTTCATGCTGCTTTATCAGCAGTGCAATCAGTGTTATCTCCTTATAAATTATCCTACAAGTGCCAGAACACAGAATTACATCCTCAGGATTATTCCATTCCCTAGCCTGGCAAAGATTTTATAATTGATGGGAAGGAATTTTAAAGTCTTGACAAAAGTGGTTACAGGAGCATAAAACCAGCAGAACTCCACTAATGATAACATGAGCCAGGAATGGAAATAAAGGGAAAATAAAAAATACAGAGGGGAAAAGTGGAGCTCAGTAATAATCAGCTTTTCAGCAGCTCTATTTTAATCAACACACATCCACACCTCAGTGAAAAAAGAGATTTATAGAGACATTTAAAATGTCCTGGGCAAAAAAAGGAGACACAGACTTGAAGCAGTAATTGTTTATCCTCAACTCCTACCTTGTCTTTCAGAACAGTCTGATATTCTTTAAAATAGATTTATTTCCAAAGCAGCTGTTCTTATCTACATATTGGAAAATAAGAGCTATTTTTTTAAAATCCAAAATCCCAGAATGGTTTGGGTTGGGAGGGACCTTAAAGCCCATCCTGTTCCACCCCTGCCATGGGCAGGGAACCTTCCACAACCCCAGATTGCTCAGAACTTCACCAAATTTATCTCAGAAATGTTTTTCAGTATTTAGTTGTAGGAAAGTGCCACAAAATGCCTGTGTTAATATGTGCAAAAGAACTGGGACATGGAACAACTGATGGAAACCAAGGAAATATTTAAGAACAAACCTTAAACTGTTTTGTCTGGGCATTAAACTTGCAGCTGAGAAATATGGGTTAATGAACTCTGAGAAATTAGTTGAAAATTATACTGAAAATTCCCTCAAATCCTCTGTGTGTGGCCACAGCTACAGAAACCAAACAAACCAGATTAAATTTAGGAAGGACATTGAGACTCTTGAGTGCATCCAGAGGGGCCAACGAGGCTGGAGAGGGAACACAAACCCTGTGAGGAAGCCCTGAGGGAGCTGGGGGTGCTCGGCCTGGAGAAAAGGAGACTCAGGGCTGCCCCCATCGCTCTCACAGCTCCTGAAAGGGGCCTGTGCTCACCTGGGGCTGGGCTCTGTCTGCAGCAGCACTGACACATCCAGAGCACACGGCCTCGAGCTGCACCAAGGGAAATACAGGCTGGAGAGCAGGGAAAAGGTTTTTCCAGCCAGGGTGAGAATGTTCTGGAATGGCTGCCCGGGGAGGGGGTGGAGTCCCCATGCCTGGGTGTGTTTAACAAAGCCTGGATGTGGCACTGGGGGCCAGGGTTCAGTTGGGGCTGGGCTGGACTCGATGGTCTTGAAGGTCTCTCCCAACCCAGGGATTCTGGGATTCTGTAAATAAACCTAAATGCCACTTCCAAGTGTGCCCACAGATCTCCTGCTGGAACCCTGCTGGTGGTTCAGCATTAGCAGCAAGCTCTGTGTCATAAATAACCTGATTTATAAATACCCTGCCAGCAGTGAGACAAACCTGGGCCAGCAGCAGCAGCCAGGGATGGCTGCAGGGATGGCACTGACCACTGGAACTGGGCTGGGAATGTCACCCTGGGGTCACTCCCCCTGTAACCCAGTGCCAGGGATGGCACTGACCACTGGAACTGGGCTGGGAATGTCACCTGGGGTCATTCCCTGCGTAACCCCAGTGCCAGGAGCAGCCAGGGATGGCACTCACCACTGGAACTGTGCTGGGAATGTCACCCTGGGCTCAGTGCCCCCTGTACTCCAGTGCCAGGGATGGCACTGACCACTGGAACTGGGCTGGGAATGTCACCCTGGGGTCACTGCCCCTGTACCCCAGTGCCAGGAGCAGCCAGGGATGGCACTCACCACTGGAACTGGGCAGAGAATGTCACCCCAGGCTCACTGCCCCTGTACCCCAGTGCCAGGGATGGCTGCAGGGATGGCACTCACCACTGGAACTGGGCAGAGAATGTCACCCTGGGGTCACTGCCCCTGTACCCCAGTGCCAGGGATGGCTGCAGGGATGGCACTGACCACTGGAACTGGGCTGGGAATGTCACCCTGGGGTCACTCCCCCTGTAACCCAGTGCCAGGGATGGCACTGACCACTGGAACTGGGCTGGGAATGTCACCTGGGGTCATTCCCTGCGTAACCCCAGTGCCAGGAGCAGCCAGGGATGGCACTCACCACTGGAACTGTGCTGGGAATGTCACCCTGGGCTCAGTGCCCCCTGTACTCCAGTGCCAGGGATGGCTGCAGGGATGGCACTCACCACTGGAACTGGGCAGAGAATGTCACCTGGGGTCACTGCCCCTGTACCCCAGTGCCAGGGATGGCTGCAGGGATGGCACTCACCACTGGAACTGGGCAGAGAATGTCACCCCAGGCTCACTGCCCCTGTACCCCAGTGCCAGGGATGGCTGCAGGGATGGCACTCACCACTGGAACTGGGCAGAGAATGTCACCCTGGGGTCACTGCCCCTGTACCCCAGTGCCAGGGATGGCTGCAGGGATGGCACTCGCCACTGGAACTGTGCTGGGAATGTCACCTGGGGTCACTGCCCCTGTACCCCAGTGCCAGGGATGGCTGCAGGGATGGCACTCACCACTGGAACTGGGCAGAGAATGTCACCCCAGGCTCACTGCCCCTGTACCCCAGTGCCAGGGATGGCTGCAGGGATGGCACTCACCACTGGAACTGGGCAGAGAATGTCACCCCAGGCTCACTGCCCCTGTACCCCAGTGCCAGGAGCAGCCAGGGATGGCACTCACCACTGGAACTGGGCAGAGAATGTCACCCTGGGGTCACTGCCCCTGTACCCCAGTGCCAGGGATGGCTGCAGGGATGGCACTCACCACTGGAACTGGGCAGAGAATGTCACCCCAGGCTCACTGCCCCTGTAGTCCCAGCTCAGGGTGAAGTTGGTGTTCACCACGTGCACCTGCACGTTCTCTGGGCTCGGCAGGCTGCTCTGCCCTAGGAGAAACCAGCAAGCACAGAAATCAAATGTTACAATCAGAAGAAAAGAAAATATAGAGATAAAATGAAAACAAAATGTTAAAATAAAATATTACAATAAAAAGCAAATAAAATATTAATATAAAAATTAAGATTAAATATTACCATAAAAAGAAATTAAAATATTACAGTAAAATTAAAATAAAATGTTAAACCAAAATATAATAAAAACCAAATAAATTATTAGGATACAATGAAGATAAAATATTACAAGAAAAAGCAAAGAAAATATTAAGATAAAATTAAAATAAAGTTAAAAATAAAAGGAAGTATTACAATAAAAAGCAAATAAAATATTAGGATAAAATTGAAGTAAAATATTACAATAACATAAAATCAAAAATAAATAAATAAATAGTGATTAAAATAAATACAATAAAATAAAGTAAAATGAAAATGAAATAAATAAATAAAATAAAAAGTAAAAAGCAAAAAATAAAATAGATATAGAATTAAAATAGAAAACAATAAAAATGAGTTAAAATAAGAAAGACACAAAATAAGTAAAATACAATAAAATATTAAAATAAAAAATTAGTAATAATAAAAATTAAAACAAAGTACAATCAAATTTAAATATAATGAAATAAAATAAATAAAAATTAAAATTAATTAAAAAAAATTAAAAACTAAACTAAACTAAAATACACCTCTTAGCTTTGACATCCTATTTTATCTGGTTCTATTTTATCTGAAGCCATTTATTAATGACTTCCCAACGGTCACAATTTCTGAGCCACATCTGAAATTGCCGATTGGCATCAGTCTGATGTTTGATGGTGTGAGGAGCAAACCAGAGCCAAGAAATCCCATTTCAGCTGGGCACTCCCAGGGCACCGATGGCTTCTCCTGAGCCTGACTTTGGGACAGGCTCTGCATTACAAACCCAATTTATTTTCTACACAAGGTCCTGCCTACAAAGGGAATGTGTGGAAAAGCGGAATGACCAAATTCTACAAAATCCTTTTGGAGAATTAGGTTGCACCCACATGATTTTGGGAAATAACTCCTGAAAGCAGAAAAACACGAAAGCCAAATAGTTCAATAAACCCTCGTGGCTCCCACCACAGAATTTATTCCCACAAGGCAGGGGTTTGTTGCTGTTCTGACAGAGCAGGACAAACCCAGAGAATGCCAAAGGACGTTTGCTCAGAAAATAAGAAAACAAAGGAAAAACCAGATTTTCCCCCAGATATTTATCCAACAGAGGGTTACAATTCAGCCAAAACCCTCTGTGACAACAAGGGCCCCACAGACTCCAACTGATAAAAACACTACTACATCCCAATGATCAGAGTACTTTTGTTTGCCTTGGGTAGGAATTCAAATATTTAGTGCATCCCATCTTTTCAAATCCTTCATTTACAGAGCATGAGGCTTTCCAGAACTCCCTGTTAGACCTCAGGGGGCCAGATGGCAAAAAGGAGGAAGATCCTGTTGGTATCCATGTTCTGAGCAGAGACTTTCTGTGTTTTAACCCAGCCTGAGTTTTGTGCAGCTGGGAAATACCCCAGGAAAGTCATTTTCAACACAGCTCCCAACCAAGAGAAAGCTGAATGGCTGAAGCAATTCCTGAAGTTTTCCTTTTAAGCCAAATTTCAGCTTCCTGAAGGAATTTCATCGTTCTCTTTTGTATTCATTCCAAACGTTTCAGCTTGCTTGAAGCAGTGTAAAAAAAATCACAATAAACTGGCTGAGACTAATTAGTGGAGGTCTAATTTATGAGACGTGACCTAATCTTTTCCTTCTAACCAGCACTGCTGTGCCCTGATACTTTTGGGGTTTCTAAAAACACCCAACAAAACAATGCTGTGTAATTTATGGGCAGAAGTTTGTGGATTTTTCTCTGATATTTTAACCCTCCTATCTTTGCCTGCACATTTTCCCGTTCAACACCACTGTAACGTTTCCTGGAGTACTGATCCAGTTTCTCCCAACAGACAGGAATATGTGATCCACCTTTTCAGGTATTTCCCTATTTCTAATGAGTTTTGCGCCTGCTTCCCTAAATTAATTCCACAAATCATTAATTTCCCAATGAACACTATGCAGGAAGGAAGGAGCAAACTCAGTGACGTTTAATCAGCAGGGAAATTTTGTGATTTAGGTAGAAACTTGATACGCAAAAAAAACCCCAAAAATCAACACTTCTTCCTGGCTTATTTTATTAATGATTTAAAGCCAGACACTTAAAACTAATTCCTGTTTGTCCACTTGAGCACGATGACACTTTGGTTCTGAGAAACCATTATAAGGGATTAGACTTGTGTGGAAAGAAGAGATGAAAAACCAGAAATGCTTTTAGCACATCTGCCCATCTCTTTCCCCTGTCAAATTCAACCAAACCAAACCAACCCAAACTGTTCCAACACACAAAAATTACTGCTTCGCCCAGGAGATGTTCAGCAACGTCGACAGCTGAAAATAATGATGATTATATAACAAAATCTATTCAGCGACAGAAGAAAGCAAGAAATGGCAACAGAGCAAAGCCCAGAGTCAGGGGAAATCCCTGAGCAGCACATGATGCTCGATGCTTACGACATCCCTGGGTGCAGGAGCCAGCGGAAAATTTCAGTCAACATTTCAACAGGAGGAGGAAGAGGAGGCCCCTTAGATGTGACACCAGGAAAGGCTCTGAAGGACCCTGATGTGCAAAGAACCCCAGAGCCAGAGCTTCACGCTGGAGCAGCAGCACAGGGAGCAGCTGGGCTTGGCGCAGGGGAAGGCAGAGGTCACTGAGGCACAGCTATTGGAATTCCAGAGTGAGAATCAGCCCCTGGGTGGGATCTCAGAGCCCACCCAGCCCCAGTGCCCAGCCTGGCCTTGGGCACTGCCAGGGATGCAGGGGCAGCCCCAGCTGCTCTGGGCACCCTGTGCCAGGGCCTGCCCACCCTGCCAGGGAACAATTCCTCATTGCCAAGATCCCACCCAGCCCTGCCCTCTGGCAGTCTAAAACCATTGTGCCATGTCCTGTCACTCTCTGCCTGTACAAGCAGTCCCTCTGCCCTCTTTTGTAATGCTTCGCAATCCTTCCTCTTCCAGCAACAAGTTTTGGGCAATAGTTTGTTTTTTGCTGTGTAAGGACAAAAGACAAGGCACAAGCTCCCTCCCCCTGAGCCAAAACCCCCATCCTGCCATTCCACCTCTCATTTCCTCCTTTATCCTTTAGGCTCTGCCAGACTGTGACTTCAAGCCGAACAACGGGAATCCAAAGGTGTTTCACCCACAGCGGCTGCAGCCGCTGCAATTCACCGGGAACGGCTGGAACCGGTGTGGAGGAGAGGGACAGTCCTCAGGGGAATGGGGACAGGAGCCAGGGAATGGCTCCCAGGGCTGGATGGGATCTTGGCGATGAGGAATTGTTCCCTGGCAGGGTGGGCAGGCCCTGGCACAGGGTGCCCAGAGCAGCTGGGGCTGCCCCTGCATCCCTGGCAGTGCCCAAGGCCAGGCTGGGCACTGGGGCTGGAGCAGCCTGGGACAATGGATGGGGTCCCTGCCATGGCAGGGGTGGCACTGGGTGGGATCTGTGGTCCTTCCCAACCTATACCCAGCTGGGATTCCATGATAATGCAAACACGACACATCCTCACCGACACCGTTATTCCGCCCCGCATCCCCGCAGAGCTCCGGGACCGCAGCGGGACCCGCGCCCCGCTCCCCTCTCGGCCCCAGGGAGGGGAACCCGCACCGGCCCCGCTCCCTGAGGGCCCCGGACCCACCTGCGCAGGGCAGCGGCACCAGCAGCAGGGGCAGCACGGCCGCCAGCCAGAGTCCGCCCGGCACCCACAGCCGCCGCCGCTCCGCCGTCCATCTACCCCACGGCTCCGCCGTCCATCCATCCCCGGGCTCCTCCGTCCATCCCTCCCCGGGCTCCGCCGCCCCTCCAGCCCCCGGTCCCGCCATCCAGGGCAGCGCTGCCGGAAGCGCCGGCGGCGGCGCCTGCGCGGAGCGGCCCGGCCGCTGTGAGGGCGGCGGAGGTTGTGTGAGGGAAGTCAGGGCCGTGAGGGGCGGTCTGGGCTGTGCGAGGGCGGTGTCGGAGCTTGGTCTGGGCAGTGTGAGGGGCGGTCACCGCTGCGAGGGGCGGTCGAGGTTGTGTGAGGGAAGTCAGGGCCGTGAGGGGCGGTCTGGGCTGTGCGAGGGCGGTGTCGGAGCTTGGTCTGGGCAGTGTGAGGGCGGTATCGGGGCTGTGTGTGGGCGGTCGGGGCTGTGAGGGGCATCAGGGCTGTCTGAGGGCGGTATCGGAGCTGTGTCAGTGCGGTGTCGGGGCTGTGTGAGGGCTGTGTTACTGCAGTGTCGGGGCTGTGCCGGGGCTGTGTGAGGGCGGTATCGGCACCATGTCAGGGCAGTGTCGGGGCTGTGTCAGGGCAGTGTCGGGGCTGTGTGAGGGCGATATCGGAGCTGTGTCAGTGCGGTGTGAGGGCAGTATGAGGGCTGTGTTAGGGCTGTGTCGCGGCAGTGTCAGGGCTGTGTCGGGTTGGTGTCGGGGCTGTGTGAAGGCGCTCTGAGGGCGCTCAGGGCGCTCTGAGGGCGATGTCGGGACCCCCCGAAGCTCGCGGTGCCGCCCCAGGCCCTGGCCGGTGTCACAAAGTGACAGCACAGCCCCAGCTGGGGGCACACGGCGATCACCGGCCCTGCACGGCCCTTGGCACAGACCCAGGGTCACGGAGCTGCTCCAGGGAGAGCTCAGAGCCCCTGGCAGGGCCTGCAGGGGCTCCAGCAGAGCTGCAGAGGGACTGGGGACAAGGCCTGCAGGGACAGCACCCAGGGAATGGCTGCCAGTGCCAGAGGGCAGGGCTGGGTGGGATCTTGGCAGTGAGGAATTGTTCCCTGGCAGGGTGGGCAGGCCCTGGCACTGGGTGCCCAGAGCAGCTGGGGCTGCCCCTGCATCCCTGGCAGTGCCCAAGGCCAGGCTGGACACTGGGGCTGGAGCAGCCTGGCACAGTGGAAGGTGTCCCTGCCATGGCACTGGGTGAGCTCTGAGGTCCCTCCCAGCCCAAACTATTCCATGACTCTGTGATTGTCTGGGGAGGAAGGAATCTCTCTTCAGCTGCAGTTTGTCCATTTCTCAAATGTTCAGTTGTATTCTGTAGTGACCATTAAATGCAGTGTGTTACAGCCCCTGAAGTGGGGCTTGGGCTCAGCTCCCTTTTGCCAGCCACAATTTCTGACCACAAGATTAGAGGGCTCCTCTTCTCTTTTTTTGTTTCATATTTTCCATGGGCCTGCCCAGCTGCAGGCTTGGGGTGGTAAAGTCAGGTATTCACCTTTCACTTCCCACCCCTCAGACACAGTGGGCAGACCAATGGTTTCAGAGAGGAGGATTTGAAACTCTGGTGGGCAAAGGTCTGTGCCCTCAACATCCTGGCTGTTGTAATCAGGACAGGCTTTGCTTCTTAAGGAGAACACAGACTGACTTTTGGATAAAAACGTTCCTCACTGCTGCTGCCTGTTGTGCCATGGGGTGCTGCCCGTCTGCTGATCTCACATCCCAGAATCCCGGAATCCCAGGATGGGTGAGGCTGGGAGGGACCACAGAGGGTCCCTGGTGCCACCTCCCTGCTCCAGCAGGGCCATCCCAGAGCAGAGGGCACAGGGTGGGCCCAGGTGGCTCTGGAATGTGCCAGGAGGAGACCCCAGCCCCTCTCTGGGCTCTGCTCCAGCTTGGGCCCTGCCCAGGGCAGAAGTTGTGTCTCCTGTGAGGGGAATTGCTGGGCTCAGGCCCTGCCCGTGGCTCTGGGGCCATTGCTGGGCCTGGAGCAGAGCCTGGGCCTGCTCTGAGCTCTGCACACAGGGACAGACACAGGGACAGACACGGGGACAGACAGGGACAGACACAGGGACAGACACGGGGACAGACACAGGGACAGACACAGGGACAGCCAGGGACAGATACAGGGACAGACACAGGGACAGACCCAGCGACAGACAGACACAGGGACAGACACGGGGACAGACACAGGGCCAGGCAGGGACAGACACAGGGACAGACACAGGACAGACACAGGGACGGACACGGGGACAGGCAGGGACAGCCACAGGGACAGATACAGGGACAGATACAGGGACAGACACAGGGACAGACCCAGGGACAGACAGACACAGGGACAGACACGGGGACAGACACAGGACAGACACAGGGACAGACACGGGGACAGACACAGGGACAGACACAGGGACAGACCCAGGGACAGACAGACACAGGACAGACACAGGGACAGACACAGGACAGACACAGGGACAGACACGGGGACAGACACAGGGACAGACACAGGGACAGACACGGGGACAGACACAGGGACAGACAGACACAGGACAGACACAGGGACAGACACAGGGACAGACAGACACAGGGACAGACACAGGACAGACACAGGGACAGACAGACACAGCACAGCCCCAGGCCCAGGCAGGGCTCAGCCCCTCTCTCTCCCGGGGCTCCTCTCCAGCTGAGCAGCCCCAGCTCCCCCAGGCTCTCCTGGGCACAGAGCTGCTCCAGGCCCCCGGGATTGTAGAAATTGTTATGTTTGCCCAATTATCCCATCACAAAAAAACCCAAACAATATTAAAAATAGTAGCAATTTTAATTGAATGGTTAAAATTAAAAATATAAAATTGGATACAATGTAATTCGATTAAAATAAGGGATAATTTGGTTCCAATTATAGCGCATAAGCAAACGATACCGCGGGGTACGGAGGGCAGGGTTCTGTGACCCTTGCCACATCACCTACGAGCTTGCCAAGTGAAATCACCCCTTTGATGCCATGTGTCAATGCCATCTCCTCCCATTCTCGGTTCGTCATATCTCTGTCTCCGCCCTCATTGCCACCCTTATCACGCATGCGCCACCACTCGGTTTGGTGGTCGCACAAGTCTTTGGGGGTCGTCACTGATGAAGGCTCTGTAGTCTTCTTCGTTGTCCTTTAATTCACCTTTGGGTTACACATGCGCACCAAGCCAGTACAATGTAAGCCAAGACTAACATATCACTGCATCTACATATCGAGGCAATAAATCCCTTATAATTAGCATTTTCTGGGACACAACCAGGTTCTTGCTCATTTTTAGCAACTGTATCTCCAGCTTCTTTCCCGTGGTCCTTGAGAACATCTGCTGGGAGGGGGGTGGAGCCCCTCCTCTCCCTCTCTTCTTTGGCATTACAACTTTTAACTGTTTTATAATTCCAAATATTAATTACTGTATCAATATTGATTACTGTTTCAATTTTTATCAGCACGAATCATACCCATTTATCACAAAATCAATCCGTGATTTTAGCAGTGTGTGAGGGGCATTGCTGAGGCACTGCTGGGCCTGAGGCAGGGTTGTTGTCACCTCCTGCCCCAAGAGCTGATAAGGAAACATGATTGTGGCATTTATTTATGTAACCACACCTCAGGGTCACCCTTTTGAACAGAAACTGCTGAACCGGTCTGGCACTGCTAGAAACATTTGATAAGCTATAAATATTTACAGTTTGTCTTCTGCTGAGTTTGAATGCAGCTTCCTCGGCGGTGTCATAGAGCAAAGGAGCAGAGGCTGGTGCTGCCCGGGCTGTGAGGAGAGCAGGGCTATCTGCAGAGCACAGGGGGACACTTGTGTCCCTGTGCCATTGATGTCTGTCCCAAACCTCTCCTGTGACAGAGGAAACGAGGCCTGCTGGAGTCTGGGCTCTGCTGGGTTTGTTTCTGTTGGCTGACAGACAAAGGAGACATAATTTGGTGGTTTCTTCTCATGTCAGCTCTGGAACAGGATGAAAGGGGCAAACGGAGCATTTCATCTTGTGTGAAATTGGGGGAACAGCGCTCCAGGAAGGAAGGACCTCAGGCAGCCCGAGGAGGGATCAGTTCTATCTCCCCTTCCCAAGGATTTTTGTAATATCCCCTGCTCAGACAGTGTCACCTGTGGGGTTTTTGTTTGTTTGATCGTTAGGAAACTTTCCTTGTCCCTGCTTTATTGCAGTCCTGTAACTGCTTCCAGCTCCCTCAGGGACACAGGTGATTCATCCCGTGCCCTCAGGAGCCTTTCCCATGTTTTAACACTGTCATTACCCTGCCATCAGACTTCTGTCCCCAGACCACAAAACAACATCTCCTCTCTGCCCCTTGTCCTCCTCGTGGCCCCCAGCCCTGCTCCCAGCTCTGCACTGGTCCCCAGCAGTGCTGGAGAGCAGAGGGATGATCCTTGGGGTCAGGATTGCAATGATTTCCCCAGGCAGCTTTGGAGTCACTGTCCCTGGCAGTGTCCCAGGACGTGGCCTTGGGGACAGGGTTTGGGGTGATGCTGGTGCTGGGGTGGCACTGGGTGATCCCAAAGGGCTCTTCCAGCCCTGATGATCCTGGGATTGGGTTTGGAAGGACAGAAGTGTCCTAGGTGCCATCGACCAGGCTGAAAGAGTGAGGAAAGCCTGGCATGAACCTCTTGTTACAGCCCGTGGTGCCTTCCAAAGGTGTCCTTTTGAGCACATCTGTAAATTCCCTCTTCATGGAGAATGTTCAGAATCCCAGACTGGTTTGGGCTGGAAGGACCCCAAATCCCACCCAGTGCCACCCCTGCCATGGCGGGGACACCTCCCACTGTCCCCAGTGCCCAGCCTGGCCTTGGGCACTGCCAGGGATGCAGGGGCAGCCCCAGCTGCTCTGGGCACCCTGTGCCAGGCCCTGCCCACCCTGCCAGGGAACAATTCCTCATGGCCAAGATCCCACCCAGCCCTGCCCTCTGGCACTGGCAGCCATTCCCTGGGTGCTGTCCCTGCAGGCCTTGTCCCCAGTCCCTCTGCAGCTCTGCTGGAGCCCCTGCACTGCAGGTGGAATCTCACAGGGACCAGTGAGCTCTGCCCTGCTCGGGGGAGTTCCAGAGCCTGGTTCCACTCCTGGTTCAGCAGGGCTGAGACCCCAGCCCAG